GGACCCAAGCCTCCACATACTTCCTAGACCGTCCGAGAAGATCTGCCAGACCTGGCAGGTAAGTCAAGAATGGGCGAATGGCCTCACCACCTGCTCTGACGATGTCCTCGAAAGGACACACAAGGTGTGGACAAAAACTGATCCCAGTGAGGTCCAAGGCAGTGTAGAAGTCGGGGGGACCCTAGGTACCCATGGGCCGGCCGCACTGCCAGGGGTGGCCTAGCCCATAAGATCAAGGCCTACGGTGCCCAGTTCTGGTCAGCGTGCACCGCAAGTCAAACAGAAGACATCTTGACGATGAAGGAAGATCTTTTCGGATATGATAGATATCGTATTCCTTGTAAATACTTACCATTTAACCGAATAGATCTAGGCATAGACCGACTTGTAACCCTACCCCCCATACTTTATAAGGCGGGTAGGGACCCCCCTCGAATTCATCTCATATTTAATACAATCTAACAAAGACACAGGACGTAGGGTATTACGTCGATCAGACGGCCCAAACCTGTCTAAATCGCTATCTCTGCGCCTTATGTCACCATCTGGTTCATATTATGCGCACCTCAACCGATCATCTACTACCGTGGGTATACCCCTCGGTGACCCTTGCGACTAGATTTCGTCGGCGGTGGCGTGTCGTAGGGGTGTGCATGCTGATTCTATAGCCAACCGATGGTCACTTTCTGAGCTCCATGGCCTTTCCCGAGCCAGCCAGATCTTCACTTCAGGCGGATCCATGACTTGGATCATTGGCCCCGACGGCAACAAGAAGATCGTGGAAGCGGTGCGGGATCACCCTGCGCTAATCGCGCTAACACTTGCAATGACATCTCCGATCCCGATGCCCCGCCGTTAGTTTAGGAGATCCATCAGCAATGATGATCTGATTGCATCCATCGATCGGGTCATAGACCGCTTAGCAGAATATCAGCTCCTCGTGGATTCGGTCTTAGATCGATCTAGAGCAAGCGACGAACCTCCTGCACTCCAAGGTCACCATGCCACTAACGCCGAGTGCCCCGCTCGTGCACACCGTCCGAGGTGGCAAGATGAAGATTTGGTGATCACGACAACTCCGAAAGGGCGTACCGTTCACGCCAACCACTCCCCGCCCCAACGGAGAGCATGCCGAGGCCCTATCCTTTTGGGCTAGTTGGTGCAAATCCGATCTGTCAGGACGACATGCACCATCGTTTCGCCGACCACGCCGAGCGCAGCCACGTCAACGACCTCTATCAGATCGACTTCCTTGAGGCCGACCAGCCTGCGTCAATGATAAACATGGTGCAAATCCGAACAGTTGTTCCGGATAAACATGGTGCTCCATACAATCCTGGAGGAAAGCCCCAAGCCATACTCCAAGGGCTCTACCAGCACCTGCCCACCTTTCCCTCTAGACTTTGGGAGAGAGCTCTTCATGGTTAGCCACGATAGCGTTGCTATCGATGGAGAGACCAAAGGTCCAGCGCCGTGAACGTGAAACCGAGAACGCGATCGCCATAACGGTGTCGCAATGAAGAAGACACCGTCCAAGCTGCCGGACGTGACCAGCGCCTCTCACTCGTAATCCCCAATAGGAGTTCCTCATGGTGGACAACCAAAGCAAGTGGAGCGGGCGCCAGATCTGGCCGAGCTTGGTGGGATGGCGACATTGAAGTCGTCGGATCCGGTACCAAACTCCCTTGACGATCGGCATGATTGATCTTGCGCGAGATCACCCTACAGGCGTGCCTCTGCTCGGTGTTTTTGATCGGCGAGATACTTGGATCTTCAGAACCCCGCTTGGTGCAAAGAGCAATCACAATGGACATAGAGTTTATACTTGTTCGGGCCCTCGTAGGCGAATAAAAGCCTTACGTCCAGTTGCTGCTTCTTGTATTATGAACTCGACGAGTAGCGATTATAATGTATCTAAAAGCCTAAGGTTGGATCAGATGGGGTACAACATGAGCCTATCTACCTATTTATATCTAGGATCAACTTGCCCTACAAACTAAGAATCGCGCCTCCTTTGGAATCTTGCCGCAATCTTGGGGATATCCTTCCTGGAATAAGACGTCGTATCTCGTCGGGTCTTCTCTGATCCGGTGTCGGTTGTTCGGCCATTCTTGTAGTCGGGATATCCGGCTGTATAGCACCGACATCTAAATTCATGTTCTTTGTGTTTCCAGTTAGTAGGCTTATCTGAATGTTCTTTGTGTTCTGGATCTTTTATTTTCTTCTCTTCTGATATGGTATGTACGCTAGAGATGGCAGGTTTAAACTCATGTCCGTGCCCGTTCAGGTCACAAGTACTCAACGGGTCACCCATGCCCAAAACACATGGCACATCAATTCACCACCCATCAGCAAATAGATAAATGCTTTTCCTGAACATTTCCTTTTCTTCTTCTTCCGGTAAATTCCCAACGAGAATACCGAATTGCAGGGACTGCATCAATAATCAATAATCAATAATCAATTACCAATCAATCTATCAATTATATTATTAATATGATCAATAATGTGCCAGTGCAAGTGTAGGGATGAAAATGGTACGGATATTTATCCCACCGAATAAATGTGAACACTTAATTGGATAGTTATTCAGATATCCGGGGCATTTATCCGATCGAAGTGAACACTTAATTGGATAGTTATTCAGATATCCAGATATTTTTTTGAATACGGACATTAAAACGGATACTTTATACGGTATTCGCCGGAAATCGGATAATCAAGATAAAAATCGAATATTTCGAACTGAGCCAGAAGTCCAGCCACCTTCCAGTAGTATATAGTAGATGTACATTTTTCATCCTCAAACCACACGTCACGTGAACAAGGCCATGTGCCTTTGTGCGCTCCCCCACCCCTCCTATTTTATAACGTACCTGGACATCGGTGATTTTTTATAAGCAGTACATCTCGCATTTAACTAGACTCTTTTATAAGCACTGTATCTCGCAGTTAACTGGATCACTCTCACGTCTTGTCTGGCTGATTTTTTATAAGCACTACATCTCACATTTAACTATAATATGAACTCTTTTATAAGCACTGTATCTCATAGTTAACTGGATCACTCTTACGTCTTGTCTGGGTGACTGATAGGCGTAGAGGCCCAGCCACGGCCCACTCTACAAGCTGCAAGCCAACTCCCACGCTGCAAGCCAGCGTCCTTCTCAATTTTATTAGTCCCACCTCGCTTAGACATATGCAAGCGAGGGAGTCAATGGTCTATATAAAAAGATCTTTTACAATGGTTGTGAATGTATATTTTTTTTATTTTTTTAGCTAATAACTAATTGAGAAACATTATTTATTAAATAATAATTTACCTTATTGAGGGTATTTACATAATAGAGGTTATGCCCTTCACGTAAACTAAGCCCCAAAGCTCGTCCAATGGTTGTGAAAGACCAGTCTTCATCATCTTTGATTTGATCCCCTAAGACGGCTGCTGTAACAGGAAAGCCGCCAACGTGCTCGTCTCCATGGGCGCCAAGGCCGCCGTCCTCGCGCTGGCCGTTGCGTGGCGGCCCGTGCTATGGGCGGCCCTGCTGGCCGACGTCGGCACGTGCTACCTCGCCGTGCTGCACAGCATGCTGGTGCTGCGGGAGCCGGACATGGGCAGCCCGAGGCGTGCCGCGCGACGGCGAGGTCGCTGGCGATGAGGTCCCAGCTCGCCGGAGCATCGGGACGGCCGAGAGCGCTCAGCAGGGACTAGGCGGTGGGACTAAAGTAGGCTGCCATAGTGCCATTACTGTTAGAAGCCAAGCGAGCCGTTTGAGCAGGAGCACGCAACAGTGGTGATCAACATACCGGCACCGTCCGCTGACACTGAGCAATCTCGGGCGATGGTGAAAGGCGACCTAACCAGATGTTGCAGCGCCACCGGCGGAGCATGTGATGTTCCCACCAGGGTGACTACCGTGGACTGCGCGCCATGAGGATGCTGTGGCGGCAAAGGCAAAGGAGACAGCCGCGTGAGCGCAAGGACGAGCTGCAGCAGCAATGGAGGTGGAGCAGTCGTGATTCTCCTAAGATGCTAAAATTACCAACTTACCCATAACCTGAAAAAATAATAAAATAAAAAATAAATCTAGGGCCCCATATTTTGGTACTTGCCCCACCTAATTTTGTAACTATCCCTACTTATTTAGTACCTCCAGATACTTTCATATTGGTACCTTCTACTTTTGCACCGTTCAATCTCGTTCTATGGATGACTCATGTTTTTTTTTTCAACCATTGTAAAATTTCAAAGTTTTTTTCAAAGCAAGCTTTGTTACCAGATTTCCATATGGCCCAGCAAACTGCAACCACTCCCCAAACATGGCACTTCTTGCCAAAAGACAACTAGTTATCACACCATCGCCAACATTGTTCCAATTCTGGGAGATAGTGTTTGCCCCAAAGCATTTGGCCACCACAGCGTTTTCGGCCATCATTCATCAAGCATGCAAGCTGGTTTGCATCTAAATTACTACCGACACATCACAGAGGAAGCAGAGTTGTTTTCTTTTTCTCTCTTGTGTGTAACTTCCTAGCTCTGCGTGACACACACACACATACGTTAATCAAACAATTGAAAAATGAAAAGCTCACCTCTTCTCTTGTCGTCAACTGGAAATGTTGCCTGCCAGCTCTCTCTCTCTCTCTCTCTCTCTCTCTCTCTCTCTCTGTCTCTGGTTACTATTTTTAATTGTCTTGGCGCGCGGGCTTTTCAGCTTGCTCCAATCTCAAGAACATGGAACAGTAGTTCTGGATGCATTTTCTTTTGCTTGGAGCCACCATTGCAAGGGGCGTGAACCTAAGATCCAGATGCTGACTTCCTCGACCAGTCTGGCTTTCTCCTGCTACAGCTACAGGGCTCAGACCAAGAACAGGCGGTGAATCTAGGTGAGCCCACCTTTACCTTGCTTTCAATTTCAACACAAAAATCAGCCCCGCTTACTACTAGTCTTTTTAATGCAAGCTGCTGCGTGCAGGAGCCACCAATCGATATTGCAAGCATGGAGCTGGCGGTGAGGGCGATGGGGAGTCTGCTCCCCAAGCTGTGCGAGCTGCTCAAGGAGGAGTACGGCCTACAGAAGGGCGTGAAGAAGAAGGTCCAGGTTCTCTCACGGGAGCTCGAGGCTGCGCACGCCGTCCTCCGCGAGATCAGCGACATGCCACCGGACCAGCTCAACGCGCTGGTCAGGCTCTGGGCTCGTGATGTCAGGGAGGCGTCCTACGACATGAGGACATCATCGACGCATTTCTGGTGCACGTCGATGCCCCTGAGCCTGCTACTGAGACACACTTCTCCGCCGCCTCAGGAAAAAGGTGAGCAGCCTGTTCAAGAAGAGCAAGGCTCGCCGCAACATCTCTAGCCAGATCCAAAAATCTACAAAAGCTTGCGGAGTTGGCAGCAAGGCGTGACTCTTGACAGCGTTGTCACCAAGCCAGCAACGACCATCGACCTCGCATCTTGAATCTGTCAAGAGTGCAACAGAGCTTGTTGGCATTGAGGGACCAAAGGATGAGCTCATAGATATGCTGTCCCTAGGGGATGACGGCGGTGATGCGTCTGGTCCTAAGAAGATGAAGATAGTCTCTGTTGTTGGATTTGGAGGACTAGGCAAGACTACTCTTGCAAAAGCTGTCTATGACCAGCTTAAACCGCGGTTCAAGTGGGGGGCTTTTATTCCAGTGGGTCGAAACCCTGACATCAAGAAAGTCCTTAGAGACATTCTTGTCGGCCTTGATAAGGAGAAGTTCATGAATTTCAATATGACCATGTTGGATGAAAAGCAACTCATGGACGAACTCAAGGAATTCGTCAAGGAAAAGAGGTACGAGTTTAATCACTCAACACAATGCTGGTCACTGCATACATGCATATATAGAGACTTAATTATATTTCAGTAAGTGTGTAGCCGTACAATTCTTTCCTCATATCTTATTTATTTTATATATTACATTAAGGCTGGAAGGAGCTAGCATGTTCCAATTCAAGTCTGTAAATTACTACAGTAATCTTGGATCCATACACATTTGATTTAAAAGAGTCATAAAGAAGTAAATTTGTATTTTCAGCAGTAAGCATAACTACTTGTATTAAATACAAATCTACAACCACCTGTTCTTTTTTATGGTCGATAATGCCACTGCTCTGTTCTTTATATGCTTTCTCATTTTAATTACCAACTCATGAAGGCAATTACGCTGTCATGTAAATGTGTAGGTGTTTCATTGTCATTGATGATATATGGGACAAGGAGTCATGGAAATTAATCAGATGTGCTTTGCAAGAAATTAATTGTGGAAGTAGACTTGTGATCACTACTCGTATTTATGAAGTTGCCACATATGCTGGTCAAGCTTTATAAATACAGCCGCTTTCTCATGATAACTCGAAAAAGTTACTGTATGCAAGAATAGTTGATGGTGAAGGGAAGTACATCGATATTGCTTTGGCTGACGAATGTGAAAAGGTTTTGAAGAAATGTGGTGTGTGCCACTAGCTATAATTACAATAGCCAGTTTGTTGGCTAGTAAACCAAGGGAGGATTGGTCCGAGGTCTACAACTCTATTGGTTTTGGGCATAAAGGCAATGATGACGTAGATAATACCAGAAAGATATTGTCCTTTAGCTACTATGATTTGCCTTCATATCTAAAGCCTTGCTTGTTGTATCTAAGCATATTTTCCGGAAGATTATGTGACAAGGAAAAATACTTTGATATGGAAGTGGATGGCTGAAGGTTTCATCTCTAAGGAACAAGCAGCAGCAGCAGCAGCAGCAGCAGGGGTAGGATTATTTGAACTTGGGGAGAGGTACTTTAATGAATTGATAAATAGAAACATGATCCAGGCACAGGAGACACAATATGAAGGGTACGTTGATGCATGCTCAGTTCATGATATGGTTCTTGATTTGATACATCAACTATCGAGTGAAGAAAATTTTGTCACTGTATTGAATGGTGGTGAGGACAGAAACTTCAGGGGAGCATTTCTCGCAGGTTGGCCCTACAGTGTGTTGACGAGCACAACGTTGGTCTACTGTCTAATGTAGATGTGGAGAAAGTGAGGTCCGTCTTTGCTGGTCGGTATAATTTTTGTGCATTATGCCCACGCGTCCCATTTTTACGTGTAGTAGACTGCGGCGATGTGCCACGTCATCTTGGGAGTTTACTTCACTTGAGGTACCTTCGACTACGTCGTATCACTGAGCTTCCTAGGGAGGTAAGATATCTGAGGCTTCTGCAAACACTGGATTTACGGGACTCCTTGATAGAGGAGCTGCCAGAGGAGGTGGGACTTCTGACGCAACGTGTTTGCCTACGAGCTAGTGATGTTTGGGCAATAAGAGTGCCAGCAGGTTTGATCGGTAAGCTCACGTCACTGCAAGAGCTACGTATATCGTGTGAAGGTGAAGATGCTATAATAATGCAGTTTGTGGAGGAGCTGGGCCTGCTGAAGGAACTGAGGGTGCTCAAGACTAGGATTTCTGTTAGGAGTGAGAGCATCATGAGTGCTTTGCTGGAGTCCCTGGGCCATCTGCACAATATCCAGGAACTTCAGATTTGGGAGTATCATTCAAGTAAGGACTGGGTGAGCAGCGATGCAGGATGGGTGTCCTGTCGGCATCTCCATTTGCTGCGTTTGGACTGCTTCGAGTTCTCTGCACTGCCGGCGTGGATTAACTCGTCACTTGCTCCAAACCTCTCCTATCTGGATGTGCAAGTGGTAGTTGTGAAAGACCAGGACATGGAGACCCTTGCCAAGTTGCCAGAGCTCAGTTGCCTCGTACTGGATTCCGGTGACACCAAGTCAGTAGTTAGCATAAAGATTCGTACAGATAAAGGTGTTGTCTACTTTCGCAAGTTGAGATTCTTAAAGATACTCGGTCCATCTATCTGGTTTGATCTGCGCGGCAGCGAGTACAACAGCAGCAGGGTACCATCTAATAATACTATCATGCCAAGTCTTGAATCGCTTGAGTTTGTTGTCCATGTGCGGTCCCTAAAAGACGAGAACCTGCATCTTGGTTTTGACAAGCTGCTTGGCTTCCAGAACCTCGGAACAAGTTCGCTCAAGAGAGTCAAAGCCCACGTGAACTGTGGAGGTGCCCATCCTCGGGATGTGGAGGAAGCGGAGGCTGCGTTGGAGCACGCGGCCGCAGTCCATCCAAAACATCCCACCCTTCTAAGCAACAGGGTAGAATGTATGATCTCACGCTACCAAGAGGTATGATGAACTGATCATGCATGCACATTTGAACTTGCTTTCAAATGCTACTGGCTCTGATTAACTATTACTTCCTATCTATCCTGTCTTTCTATCTTTATAATGGTCACAATAAAATGTTTATCTCATACATACAGTACCTACGGGGTTCAAGTGGTACATGACTAAATCTAGCTAGCTCCTCTCCTTTGAATTATTATTAGTCCTAGCTCAATCAGGTTCTCCTAAATAAATAGTTACTCCATATTAAGTAGGGGTGGGTGGGCCGTGATAGTTAACGTAAAAATATCACGATTGTCTTGTTCTCGCTTGCATGCATGTAGGGCCTGTTTTCTTTTGGCTCAGATTCTGAACACCAGCGGCTGGATCTGCTGCCTAGCTCAGATTCCGATCCAAACACGCAGGATTGCAGTGGCCATGCATGCATGTCACCAAGTTGGCCGTGTTGTCTCACAAATGCCATAGTCTGCCAACCGGTTGGCCGTGTTTGCGTGGCTCAAGGCAGATTCATTCATAACATTATGAATTGTGGTGTCTAACTACTAAAGGAACGTAATTAGAAATGCAAGAAAAAACACTCAGTTTTTTTTTCGAATGCGCAAAAGATTTGCGTATCATTGTAATTAATAAAAAGCGTTTAACCGTACAAACGACACGCTTCTGATGAGCGCACTAGGTGGTCTTACAGCTATGACTGGACCTTCCTAGTCGACTGTTACAAACCTCGATATTACATAAATGGTAAACAACCGAACTAAGAGCACCGCAGCGACCTACGGAGCTGGACGTTCCGCTGCTGGTTGCGCGACCCAACTCCACCATCTGAGAAGAACGTTCTTCTACCAGTCCTGTTGTTGGTCGCTGGGAATAGCTCGTCCAGAGCCTCCACTTGGCTCGGCGTTAAGTTCCCTACGAATATGCCGTCGTATGTTCCCTTGGACACAGATGAACTGTAGTTGCCGACGGCACGATGCCCATGCTCTGCGTGAGGAGTACCTCGCCCCGCTTGGAGGTCGGTATGTGCGCCAGCGACTGAACGGCAATCCGTCTGCTCCTGATTGGCAGGGGCCTTTTGGTTGCCTTCTTCTGCTTTGGTGGAGTGGCGATTAAGGGCGACCTTCGCTTGAGCTGCACCTCCTCGATAAACCGTGCGAGATGTCGAGCGGCCTCACGCGGCGTGGGCGTCGCATCGCTGGGGTCGGGCGTGGCTTGGCTATCCGGCTGGCCGTCCTTCGTCGACGTAGAAGGGTCGGGTGTGGCTTGGCCGTACGAATGGTCGTCCAGCGTCGACGTAGAAGTACCCGCCTTGTGCTTGGCCGGTTCGATCCCAGGTGTGCAGACCTCACTGTCGTCCCCTGGCGCCACAGCACCCACGCCAATGGGCTGCTCCATCTGTGGAGGCATGCCTTGCACAGGCGACGACGAAGGCAGGTCCGTCGTGCACTGGGGACCCATCGCCGGGGAACTGGTGTCCACCACCGAAGCTTGAACCTCCTAAGAGACGGTTGCCACAGCATGTAGGCACCCAGGCACTGGTGTGACCGCTGGTCGGCTCACGACGAGCGAGGCGGCAAGCTCGTCCAGCATCGGGTCGACCGAGACGAGCCAAACAGGAGGCCCTACGCCCTCGCACAGCGCCTCCGCTAGCGGATCTGGCTCAAGGAAGCCGCGTGCGGCAGTTGAAGAAGTGGCATAGTCGGTAGGCGCGCCCATGCTGATGTCCGTCGCCGGGACACCCCTGCGCCGGCGTCGTTTCTGGCATCGACGGTTGCCATCGGCACACCCCACGACTCCCTGCACGGTCCCATCCGAGGTCGGTGGACTGCCGAGGGATGCGTGCTGGGAAGCCGGTGTGTTGTCAACACGAGCTGAGAGGCGAGGCAGGCCACCACCCATCGACGCCGACTTGGATCGCTTGTAGTCCCTCGCGAGGTGGCGGAATCCGTGGCAGCGCAGGCAACGGCATGGCAATCGGCAGGTTGCTACTCTGTGCGAGTAGGAGATGTAGTTGAAACATCTGTCGCGGGGCTATGCTGGGATCTTCCGAGCCGATCCGCGCAGACCTGGGCCACGGCGAGGCTCAGCTGAGGCAGCTGCAGGTTAGCCCTACAGTGTGTTGAAGAGCACAACGTTGGCCAGCTGGCTAACATCGCTGTGGAGAAAGTGAGATCCATTTTTTGCCAGTGAGTGTGATTTTTGTGCATTATGCCCACGCCTCCCATCTTTACGTGTAGTAGAAATGGTAGGATGTTCTGTTTTCAACAAAGACTGCATCAAAGATGTGTCGAAGAATCATCTTGGGAGTTTACTTCACTTGAGGTACCTCAAACTAGAGAGCACCAATATCGCTGAGCTGCCTAGGGAGGTAAAATATCTGAGGTTTCTGCAAACACTGGATTTATGGGACTACCGGATAGAGGAGCTGCCGGAGGAGGTGGGACTTCTGACGCAACTTGTTTGCCTACGAGCTGGTTTTTGGGCAATAAGAGTGCCAGCAGGTTTTGATCGGTAAGCTCACGTCACTGCAAGAGCTACGTATATCGTGTGGAGGTGAAGATGCTATAATAATGCAGTTTGTGGAGGAGCTGGGCCTGCTCAAGGAACTGAGGGTGCTCAAGACTGTGCTTCATGTTAGGATCTGTGAGAGCATCTAGAGTGCTTTGCTAGAGTCCCTTGGTCATCTTCACAATATCCAGGAACTTCAAATTTGGAACTATTCTCTTTTAGCAAAAGGATTTGGCTATTCTCCAAGGAAGGACTTGGTTAGCAGCGACGCAGGACGGGTCTCCTGTCGGCATCTCCGTTTCCTGCATTTGGACTGCTTCGTGTTCTCTGGACTGCCGGCGTGGATTAACTCGTCGCTTGCTCCAAACCTCTCCTATCTGGATGTGCAAGTGGTAGTTGTGAAAGACCAGGACATGGAGACCCTTGCCAAGTTGCCAGAGCTCAGTTGCCTCGTACTGCATTCCGGTGACACCAAGTCAGTAGTTAGCATAAACATTCGTACAGATAAAGGTGTTGTCTACTTTCGCAAGTTGAGATTCTTAAAGATACTCGGTCCATCTATCTGGTTTGATCTGCGCGGCAGCGAGTGCAACAGCAGCAGGGTACCATCTAATAATACTATCATGCCAAGTCTTGAATCCCTTCAGTTTGTTGTCCATGTGCGATCCCTAAAAAACGAGAACCTGCATCTTGGTTTTGACAAGCTGCTTGGCTTCCAGAACCTCGGAAGAAGTTCGCTCCAGATAGTCAAAGCCGAAGTGAGCTGTGGAGGTGCCAGTATTTGGGATGTGAAGGAAGCGGAGGCTGCGTTGGAGCACGCGGCCGCAGTCCATCCAAAACATCCCACCCTTCTAACCAACAGGGTAGAATGTATGATCTCACGCTACCAAGAGGTATGATGAACTGATCATGCAGGCACATTTGAACTTGTTTTCAAATGCTACTGGCTCTGATTAACTATTACTTCCTATCTATCCTGTCTTTCTATCTTTATAATGGGCACAATAAAATGTTTATCTCACTAGGACTGTGCCCATGTGTTGCAACGGGAAAATCACGGCATTGCCTTCCCAATTATGGTCTAATTTTTTTCCGTCCTTAATCAGTCAATCACGGCATTGCCTTCCATATTAATTTTCTTTTTCCCTCCTCAAGCACGGCATTGCCTTCCATTCTGGGTTTCTTTCCTTTAATTGCGCCGGTAGGGAAGCGATTATATGGGAAGTTTTTGGTGCTGCTGGGTGAATCTGTTTTGATGGGTGTTTGGTGCTACCAGGTAGACGTTGACAATCCATATATTTTAGTTGTAGAGATAGAAATACATACAGTACCAACGGGGTTCAAGTGGTACAGGACTAAATCTAGCTAGCTCCTCTCCTTTGAATTATTATTAGTACTAGCTCAATCGGGTTACACAGTATTCCGGGCAACATAGATTATCTAAATAAATAGTTACTCCGTATTAAGTAAGGGTGGGTGGGCTGTGATAGTTAACGTAAAAATATCCCAATTACCTTGTTCTCGCTTGCATGCATGTAGGGCCTGTTTGCTTTTGGATCAGATTCTGAACACCAGCGGCTGGATCTGCTGCCTAGCTCAGATTCCGATCCAAACACGCAGGATTGCAGTGGCCATGCATGCATGTCACCAAGTTGGCTGTGTTGTCTCACAAATGCCATAGTCTGCCAACCGGTTGGCCGTGTTTGCGTGGCTCAAGGCAGATTCATTCATAACATTATGAATTGTGGTGTCTAACTACCGAAGGAACGTAATTAGAAATGCAAGGAAAAGCACTCACTTTTTTTCCGAATACGCAAAAGATTCGAGTATCATTGTAATTAATAAGAAGAGTTTAACCGAACAAACGACACGCTTTTGATGAGCATGCAAGGTGGTCTTACAGCTATGACTGGACCTTCCTAGGCGACTGTTACAAACCTCGATATTACATAAATGGTAAACAACCGAACTAAGAGCACCGCAACGACTTATGGAGCTGGACGTCTCCGCTGCTGGTTGCACAACCCAACTCCGCCATCCGAGAAGAACGTTCTTCTACCAGCCCTGTTGTTGGTCTCTGGGAACACCTCGTCCAGAGCCTCCCCTTGGCTCGGCGTCAAGTTCCCTGCGAATATGTCGTCGTATGTTCCCTTGGACACAGATGAAACTATAGGTGCCGACGGCACGATGCCCATGCTCTGCATGCGGAGTACCTCGCCCCGCTTGGAGGTCGGTATGTGCGCCAGTGGCTGAGTGACAATCCGTCTGCTCCTGATTGGCAGGGGCCTTTTGGTTGCCGCCTTCTGCCTTGGTGGAGTGGCGATTAAGGGCAACCTTCGCTTGAGCTTCACCTCCTCGGTAAACCGTGCGAGACGCCGAGCGGCCTCGCACGGCGTGGGTGTCACACCGCTGGGGTCGGGCGTGGCTTGGCTATCCAGCTGGCCGTCCTTCATCAACGTAGAAGGGTCGGGTGTGGCTTGGCCATACGAATGGTCGTCCAGCATCGATGTAGAAGTACCCGCCATGTGCTTGGACGGCTCAAACCTAGGTGGCCAGACCTCACTGTCGTCCCTTGGCGCCACAGCACCCATGAAAACAGGCTGCTCCATCTGTGGAGGCATGCCTTGCATAGGCGGCGGCAGAGGCAAGTCCGTCATGCACTAGGGACCCGTCGCTGGAGAACTAGTGTCCACCACCGAAGCTTGAACCTCCTGAGAGACGGTTGCCGTAGCATGCAGGCACCCAGACGCTAGTGTGACCGCTGGTCTGTTCTCGACAAGCGAGGCGGCAAGCTCGTCCAACATTGGGTCGACCAAGACGAGCCAAACGGGAGGCCCTGCGCCCTCGCACAGCACCTCCGCCAGTGGATTTGGCTCAAGGAAGCAGTCGAAACAGCGACATAGTCGACAGGCACGCCCGCCGAGGTGCCCATGCTAATGTCCGTCGCTGGGACAGTCCTGCGCCGCCGGCGTCGTTTTCGGCATCGACGATTGCCATCGGCACACCCCACGACTCCCAGCGCGTCCCATCCAAGGTCGGTGGACTGCCGAGGGGTGCGTGCTAGGAGGCAGGTGTGTTGTCGACACAAGCTGAGCGGCGAGGCAGGCCACCACCCTTCGGCGTCGACTTGGATCGCTTGCAGTCCCTCGCGAGGTGGTGGAATCCGTGGCAGCGCAGGCAACGGCGTGGCAATAGGTAGGTCGCTACTCGGTGCGAGTAGGAGAGGTAGTTGAAACATCTGTCATGGAGCTATGCTGGGATCTTCTGAGCCTATCCACGCTGACCTGGGCCTCGACGAGGCTCAGCCGAGGCAGCCACAGGTCCCGCTTCCTGTCGGGGTAGGATCTCCCGCCACCTGTCGGCGTTGGGGGCAGAGACCCGTCTGCGGGCGCCGAGGCATTGGCAGGCAGGGACCCAACCATCCACTAGCTGAGCAGGTAAGCCGTGCACTAGCTAGGGGCATGGCCGGCTGCGCTTCCTCCACCATCGCACAGGTCCCTGTCTAGCGTCCGCTCCTCAGAACCACGACTGAACGAGTCTGGGTGCACGGGGGGGGGGACGCTACGGCCGGCTTCGTAGGGTGATGAGCAGCCTCCAGGTAGGTTGTGGGGCGGTCATCGTTGGACTCGTCGCCATCGTCGTCAGCCCATTGATCGCGCTTCGTGCGCCCTCTCGAAGACGGGTAGAACGGAGCCGTGGCCGATGAGAGCGTGGAGCCTAGCGGCGGCGGCAGCGGGGACGCAGAGGGAATCTGCGGAGGTGCTCTAGAGCCAAATCCCGTGGGTCAGGCTCAATGGAGCTACAGATGGAGGTGGTGGCCGTGGCGTAGAGGCCCGGCGCCGTCGGCAGCGTGGATGGGGAGGGAGTCCACAGAGGCGCTCCAGCGCCGGAGGTGGCTGCGGTGGGAGGGCGCGGTGTCGTTGGCGTTGGAGGCGGCAACCCAGCATCGACCGCGGTGGCCACGGTGGTGGGGCCTGGTGTCGGCGGTGGTTGGGGCGGACAGGGCGCTCCAGCTCCGGCTCTCGCGTTGGTGGGGTCCGTCGGTCCAAGGAGGCTCCCATCGGAGGTGCCCGCCATCACCGGGGAGCTAGCCCGCGGTGGCGATGATGGGGCGCAGGCGCAGCAAGGTTGGGGTTGGCCGTGTAGTGGGACGCCGGTGGAGGGGCCCGACGCGGGCGGCTTCGGCGGTCGTGCCGCATGCTCACGCTCCCCCGCGCACAGGAGAGGAGAGGAGGGGTGCACGGATGCAGGGAGGTAGGGGAAGTCGTCCCATGCGGCGGCGGTGCGGGCCCCATGGGCGGAGGCGGCGGCCGCGCAGCCTCGGCGTCAGCGCCTGCCACTAGCAGCAAATCCGGCTGCTGGGGCCAGGTTCGCCGGAAGGGGAGGGCGAGGGGACCACTGGCGGCGGCGGCGGGTTGGAGGCGGCGCGGGCCTGCATCGCTGGCTGGACTTGTGGGGCTCGAGGAGGGAGTAGGGGAGGGGGGGACAGGTGGGGGAGGGGCCCGCCTACGCCGGGATGGCGGCCAGCGGCAGCGGCGGGGGGGGGGTGGGTGGGTGGCGGCCACCAGGGTCGCCAACCCTAGGGGAGCCGACTCATCCTCGGAAAGGGAATACTATTTGTTTTTTTAAAGAAAGCTTGTATCTTTGTTTTGGTTGGATTGTGTATGTTGTGTTTCTTTGATGATGACAGGGAATTCCTGAGTGGCCAGTCGAGCGTGCACGTGCTTTTTTTTCTTTTTCCTCGTAGTTCAATATATTTGTATTTATTTGCTAACCGTATCGAACAAATGGTAGGCATGTATGGAAATGAGCAAAGCCCCTGAGTTAGTAACCAAGGCCTGGAAGTTGGCGGACGACATCGTTGGCTCAGGACATATTCAAATACTGTGTATGCCAGATCCGACCGCATCTTCAAGCAAAGTATGTTTAGCAACGTTTGCATGTACATCTTCCATTTAAATTAATGAAAGGAATATCACACATCAGTATCTGTTCATGTGCTTATGATTTTCATGACATAGCACACACCGAACAATTCGGTAGAATTTAAGACTGTTATGTTCATATTCAGAACAGTATATAATTCTGATAAGCATTGTGTTTTATTTGTTTTCTTCGTAGGTTATGCGCTTGTTGTACACAGATAATGGGGTGGCACTTTTGGCTCTCAGCTCCAATGCTGTTCATAAGCTGTGGAAATGGGAGCACAGGGACAAGAATCCACGTGGCAAGGTTAGATAGGACCACTAGCTTAAGATTTCAACATTGTAGTTCTGTTGGGTTGTTTTCTAAAAACCATCCATCATTACTTTTGGTTAGTCATCCAAATCTGTTCCACCTGTACTATGGCAACCGGAAAATGGCATTCCAATGACAAACGACACCATTGATGGCAATGACCCTAAAAAAGCAACAGCCTGCACTGCACTATCCAAAAATGACAGCTATCTAATTTCTGCTTCTGGTGGCAAAGTCTCATTGTTCAACATGATGACATTCAAGGTATGTCTTCTTCAGTTGTCTATAACAATAAGTAGTTAATTCCATGATTGATCTCTTACAAATCATGCATGACAACTTCCGTAAAATAATTTTTATTTCGTAGTTGCACCATGGCCTTTCTTTGGCTTTACTGATCTTGTGCAATCTCTCATATATAGGTCTTGAGTACTTTCATGGCACCTCCACCTGCTGCAACTTTCCTTGCAGTCTACCCATTAAACAATAACATCATAGCTATTGGAAGGGAGGACTGTTCAATTCAAATCTACAATGTCCGTATAGACAAAGTGAGTATTAAACGTGAATCTATCATCCCCTGTTTCCATGAATCTCAGAGTATTGGCAAACCTCATTATATATGGTTCTAACTGGAAATGCAGTAATGTACCCATTGTAAAATAATGTGCTCTCGTTTCAGACTATATATCCCCTCATGTTTTACTTATGTATTAGGATCATGAGATTGTAAATGTTGTTTTTCATATGATCTTTTTGACATAACAAATTATGTACATTTTGCGGGCTTTGAGCAGATACCACAAGGTACACATATTACATAGCAACTTTGTGGTAGCTCCCGTCAACAATATGAAGAGTAGTAAGTACCTCGTGGTATATGACCCAAAAAACCTTCATAAACCATACATATGTTGTTAGCTCGACATTTAAAAATTTGAGAATTTTTAACGATAATGGATTCTTCCTATGTGGAACATTATGCTTAGTGTACTAATTACCGTTTAGTTTATATTTAACATCGACGTGCCAAAATATCAACTTATCTTAATCGAATTGCACAGGTTAAAATTGTGCTCACGGGTCATCACAAAAAGATAACTGGACTAGCATTTTCGCAATCAATGGAGGTGCTTGTATCTTCAGGTGCTGATGCACAGGTGTGAATTCTAATATATATCAAAATTAGGACTAGCGATTTTGTTTTTGCTTATAAATTTAAGGGATGCTGAATTAAATACAGTCAAATGTTATGTGTCGGTGTTTCGTGAACCGACCAGTAAATTTAGTGCCGCGCAGCTCTAGGAATCGATGGAATCACTCAAGACATGGGGAGATTATATTGTTTCAGGCCGAGCCCTACGGTCTCAGAGGGAATCGAGTTCGTGTTTCTTGGTTCAAGTGCTCAGTTGGGTTACAATGGGGGTGCTCGTAAGCATGGGTTCAGAAGTGAGAGGTCTCGAGAGAATAGATCGATCCCTCCAAAGCCATAGAGAGTGTTTGCTTTTTTTTCTGTCCGCTAGAATGAAGGCCCGGTTCCCTTATGCTTCCGAGTGACAATTGAAAGGAAAGGGTTCCCACGACCCGAGTGACAATTGAAAGGAAAGGTGAGTTCCCCTGACCCGAGTGCTCGAATGTCATCACGCTCGAGGGTATGGTGCGCCATAGCGGCGTGGTGTGGTGCCCATAGCAGCATAGTGGGCCCGTCTGCCTCTTGTAGTCCTATGGGACGTGGACACATAGTGTGAGTCATGGCCTTCGTCCTTGCACCCATCGCCCCGGATCATGAAGTCTATGGCTATCATCCTCTCTGGGAGCGAGGCTTCATCCGAGGCTTCATCCCACACAGGGGTGGTCGAGGGTCAACTTGTTTGGCCGGTTCCGAGGAGTCAAGTCCCTAGACGTGAGACCCGTGCTCTTTGGCGAGCGTGGTTGTACACCTGCCCGTCGAGTCATATAGTGTTTGAGCGGTCCTGTGCCATATCCTGACATTGCCTGGCCACGGAGTGGCCTTTTGAATTGGTGGGGGATTAGTCCAAGGGGTGATGCCTCACCCCAAGACCCTGCGGTTCGAAGGGTGGTCGATGCATCCTAAGGTCCCACGGTCCGTTGGGTGGTCGTCGTCCTTTTGGTCTGAGTGGGTGTGCGGTGCGTGCACGTCTCGTTGTGGCGGCGTGCATTGAATGCGCCAACCTCCCCTGGTCTTATCCGTTGATGGTCAGCCTAGGCCCGGGGTGGTCGAGGTCGTGCCTCGTATCCCGACCCGACTGCGTGGTCGGGTGGAGCGAGTGGTCGAGGCGCTACGTGGATGATGGGCCTTGGCCTATTGGGCCACGAAGTGCGCTTTCCTCCGGCGTAAGCCGCGTTGTGGGGTAACCGGGGTATGCTCCCCCGACATTATGTTAGTCGCATTACATACCATCCATTAGTCCATTTTCTAAAATATATAAAGATCTATAAATACACTCCACTTTCTAAAAGGTATAAATATCTAAAAATACAGTATTGTTTCTTTCTGAATCATTCTTTTCTTGTTTTTTTTTGCAATGAAATGAAATTTGCAGCTATGTGTTTGGAGCATTGATGGTTGGGAGAAGAATAAATCAAGATACATCAAACATCCATCTAATGGTTCTGGTGCTTTAGTTGGTGATACAATGGTGCAGTTTCACTATGATGGAACACATCTTTTAGTAGTTCATGAGAGTCAGTTGGCGATCTATGATTGGCAATTGGAATGCCTGTGCTCGGTAAGTCATTCACAACATTTTCATAACAATATATTTTAATCTCTTAGTAATCATATGTTGTATTGTCTATTGAGTTGGAGTACTAACATATTACATTATTTACATCATGCTTGTCGAATGCTCCTAATCGTATCGATGCATTGTAATAAGCACATTACACATTGATATTTGACCTTCCATAACTTGATAATGCAGTGGTACCCAAGAGATGCACTCCCTGCTCCAATTTCAAGTGCGGTATACTCACTTGGTTGTTTGTTGGTCTATGCTGGATTTCGTGATGGTGCAATTGGAATATTCAAGGCAGAATCTCTTATGCTACAGAACTGGATAGCACCCTCTGCCTACGTACCATCTTCAATATCTAGGCATTTGGAGTTTCAAGCAGTTTCTGTTTTTTTTGTTTGAGTGGTACTTTCAATTCTGGTAACAAACGTCTTGTTTTCGTTGCCTCTCTGGTTTCCAGCGTTGGTGAAACTGTCTATCCCACGGTCATCGCAACACATCCTTGGAAGCCTAACCAGATTGCAGTGGGCATATGTGCTGGAGCCGTTGGATACAGACGACGGACAAGTGGGGAGCGACACCTTCTCAGAACAACGTCCACCTAGTAATGTCTGCAGCAGCGGTGGTGACAACCAACCGAGCGTCCGATCAGCCGATGAGTTGACATGACAATGCTTGCTTGGCCTACGATGATAGATTGAGTTAAATATTTTGCTTGGCCTCTAGACACATATTGTGACTCCCTAATTTTACTTTTCTTCAAATAGAGTTAAATTCATTTAATTATGAATTTTTCTGTACATTTAAACCTAGGGAAAATAATAATCTTTATTGAAATTAAAATTCATCATAAGTTTAGCAACATGGTTGTGCATTCATGCTGCTGCATAGTCTTTTGTATTGCTTGGTTTGAAGTCAGACTTTAAATTGATTTGAATTTGTATTTTGAAATTGCTTTGGAAAATTGGAAAAGGAAAATGAATTTCCCTTTCTCCCCTTCCCTGTTTTCGGCCCGTTGGCCTGCTCCCTTCCCCGCGGCCCGTTTCTCTTTTTCCCGCAAAGCCCAGCAGCATCAACGTTTCCCTCTCCCACGTGGACCGCTGCGCCACAGTCCAGCAGCGCCGTCGCGCAGGCCTAAGCAGCAGCGCAGCCCGTCCTCCTCCCCGCGTGGCACCGTTTTTCTCTCCCAGCCATAGGCCGGCCCAGCTAGTCAAGCCGCGCGGCAGCCCGCGTTCTTCCTCTCTCGCCGTGACTGCCAGGCTGGCCCCGCTTGTCAGTGTCCTCATCGTCCCCTACCTCACGACGTGGGCACGCTGGACTGTGCTCCGAGCCAAGTCCGCTGTCGCCCGGTTTCCCCTCCGTCTTGCGTGCGCTCCAAGCCAGCGTGGCCCCATAAATAGCAGGCCCATGTGCCATGCCTCTTTCCCCGCACCGCCGCGCCCCAGAGCTTCCTCGCCGTCACAGACCTAGATCACAGAGCCTGCCGCCGCCGCAGTAACCATCGTTGGAAGCCCCTCCGTTGACTAGCGCAGGTCGTCGGGAATATCTCTGTGGTAGCGAACCTCCCAGCACCGTCATGTCTCTCTTTCTTCCACTCTATCGCTCATACGCCGCCGCCAATTGTTCGCAGGTAGACCAGAGCTTCCCATCGAGCTACATGCCACCACCGAAACCTCCCCGGCCGACGCGAGTACCCTAGGTGAGTTTGCCTTACCATGCTCTATCTCCTAGTATTTTTCCCGTCAAGTTTGGAGCTAATGAAGACATTCCTAGCATTCACTCATCTCCAAATGAAGCTACACTTGATATAGCTGGTCCAATTACAAGGAGTAGAGCTAAACAATTGGAGAAGGAAATTCATTCTCAGGTGAACGCTAACCTTATGCTTAATAATCAGATTACATTGAATGAACCTATGCTTTTGAGTACTTGTTTCAATGTTCTTAGGAATGATGGAGTGCACGAACAAGCATGGGATGATGATGGATTCTGCCCGCCAAATATATGCATGGAACCCGAACGTGCATGAGAGAGGAAAAGGCCATTCACTACCATGAATATCACCGTTGAAGTGCAAGCAAATAATTTGGGAGTTAGGAATGCATGCAACCAAAGAATCGGGTTGTCTTGTCCACACACGCCCAAAGATGCATGCAGAGAATACCAACCAGCTAGGCGCCTACTACTAGGCTTGGTTATTAATAAAAGTAGTCTTGCAACTTCCCACTACATGTTCTCAATTATTTTCCACCAAACCTGAACTCCACTAGTGCTATATATCCTGTAATGGATGACGTGAACAGAACTTGTGATTGCAATTTCAGAAATACCAACTCTTGGAATTCTTGTTCCAAATATGAGTCTTGAGAGGCTTGCAAACTTGTTCTTTCGATTCTGAGGGAGTTGTAGAACACCGAACTGCGGTTCACCCAGTTTGTGCCTTCACGCCTATACGGCGTGATTGCGTGGGCTGTTCGTCGGTACGTGGAAGGGTGATTGTCTCGGTAGTTCATCACGTGGATATCCTCGCGGTGCATTGCCTCTTCACCAGGTCGCGCAATGACAATTTATCAAGTTCGCAGATCCTACGAGAAGATCGGGCCACAACAACTTGCTACACGTCTTTGCATAGACGTGTGCACATCATCTGTACCGAGCCTCCGTTTACTCGTTAGGATTGTTCTTGTTTTTGGTAGGATAGAGTTTATATACCTATTGTCCACTAATAGCCAAAAAAGAAAACCTACAACCCAAATTCATACGCTGATTTTGTAGTTTGCTTTATCGAGTTTTAATCCTTTAAGATTTGTCTAGTTGCTGAATTTTTCTTTTCCACATCATTCTAGTTGTTATCATTGTTCTAATCATCAAATCGCTTCTGCATGTACCCACCCATCCCACCCTTGTTCTAATCGTCATTGCTTGCTGCATATATATAACTAAAAAACCCACCCGCTCCACCCTTGTTTTCTACCCGCCACAAATTCCCCACCCGAGTTTCTTATTTTTTTGTGTTTGCATACCGTCCATCTTAGTTGATCCTTATGTGCCCCTTTAGTTGAAAGTTGTGCTACGTTTCTCACAAAGGTTAAAAGAAAAGATGTATATGGGTCAAAAGAAGGACTAAAACAACGAGTTCTTGTTCAAAAAAAAAAGAAAAGAAAAGAAATAAAAGAGTATTGTGTTCAAAGACACCACAAAGGGGTTTGGGCAACAACAAGTTTCGGTTGGTGCAATTGGTGTTCATCTATCCACTTCCTACATCTTGTTCCTTTCTTTGAGCATCTTTTCCTTTATATTCAGCAACTTAGACTTGAGTTCTTGGATTATTATTCGGTTTTGCATTACTACATTTCAGCACATTCCATTTACATATTACCCCACCAAGCTCCACTTAAAAAGCA